AACATTGAAAAGATTTTGGCATTTTAAAGTTACAATGCCAAAATCTTTTCAATGTTTCTTTTTTCAACGTCAAATCTCTATTTCAAYATCAACGTAAGCTGTCACTGGTTTAACTCCATAAGAAACCATCTCACCCTGTCAGCACAAACCTTCCCAGAGACTATGCACAACACTTCTAGTCATTCACCTCGTTCGCTTATTTTCCAATGTAGCTCCACGTGTCCGTATCATGCAGTGCTTTTCTTTTCTTTTTTTGCAAGGATTTGGACTTGTCTTGTGTATTCACCACCATGCTACACAAAATTCTTCTCACCGACTAGAACCAGGACTGGCTCAGGATGAGTTTTTACCTGTTTCACTTGATTGCACACTGAGAGGCTATAGGTCTTAGCATGGCTAGCTGTCCTGTGATCCTCACATAAGTCAATAAAGTTTGATGAACTCTCAGGCTGTTTGTTTGGTTATTTTACAAAAAAAAAAAAAAGTCCTAAAAAGTTTAATGTGTGTATAAGGATTGGGAAAACTGAACTGGTGTCACAGAAGTAAAACAGTCTGGTTAAAAAACACAAGTAGAACACAGAAAAATGAAACAATAACCACAAACAGAATCTTAAACTCAAAGTAATAAAAAGTAACTAAAATRCACAAATACTGGCACTCATGTTGAGAACAGACACAAGTTTACAGTTGGTGTGTGATAGCTGCTGTGAGGTTTTAAACAAGCTGAATCTTCATTAGAAGAGGATGCTAATAAGATAAAATTATATTTAATAGATGTTTTGTTGTTTTACTCAAAACGAATGAGAGCAAAACTGAAGAGAACAACAAAGTTCAGGCTATAAAGTCATAAGATGTGTATTTATGCCATATTTCTGTTGCTACATGCTAATATACAATAACTTAAAGCTGAGTATCTACTTTTAACAAAACAATGAGTAATTTTGCAGCTTATTTCATGATTTTATGTCTAAAGAGAAAACGCCCCGCCTTCATCGTCCAATCCTTCCGAGCTCCTTTTATTTAAGTTGACAGTTTATTTAAGCTGACTGCTCTTTTTCTAATGACCGTAAACAACACGATTAACACCCCGAAAAAAATTAATTTGCAACACGAGAGCTGCTGGCAACCCGTAGACTAAAAGCTGGCAGAGCGTGCGTGCGTGCAAGTGTTGTTCTCCCTGCTGTGGTGTAAGGAACATTTCTCCAACCATGACCCAGTTCTGCTATCAAACTGGATCAAATGGGATTTTCGTCTCGGTGGCRAGGCAGACAGAAACGTGCGCCACTGGCAGCACATCAAGTCGGGCGAACACTTTAGCAAACTGATGATTTTGGAGCTTAAAAGATTTGGCTCCAAAATAAAAATAATAAAAATATATAAATCTCTGCACTTCACCTTTTTTATTTTTTTTATTTATTTATATTTTTTTACAAGTTYGAAAACTTGAAGTTTTTCTCTGATTTTTGGTTTTTGGCTCAAACAAAAATAAGTCAAATGCTGAAAGAGCTGTGCCAGCACAAGAAAAAATAACATTAAATGTGTCATTAAATTAATAAAATTGTTCCTAATCCTGCTATTATCAGATGTTTTACATCTTTTGGAAGTATGGAACAAAGGCAGTAATAACTTAACACATAACACAATCACTCCATGTTGTGTACTCCTATCTTCATGGGGACCTTGCATTGACTTCCATTCATTTCTTTAGCCTAACTATGAGGACCAAGCTTCRGTCCTCATAAGGAACAACTGGTCGGCACAAGCTTGTTTCCAAAAGGTAGTATCAGCATYAGGGCTGTGTACTGGCAGGAATTTCATGACACAGGTTGTCATAAGGCTCACTTATATACATTTATACACATTTRTTAGTCWTTAATAAATAGTGTATTGTCTTACACTTCACAATAAGGATCCCTTTGATACTGTAGTGCAGTAATACACTACAATAATATATGTCAAATATGTGTTTCCAAATCATTATTGTGCTTACAAGGTAGAAACCTAGTCTGGAATGTTTAATAAAACACCTTTAAGATGCAATATAGACATGAACAGATTTGGGTCACTATTTGACAAGAAATTAGACAGTTTTGTCTCGTTCTCATCCTTAATTAATGCATAATAAACACTTATTAATGTTTGATGAAGTGTTTACAGATTAATTAATAACCTACATCTATAAGGGGAGCCATATTGTAAAGTGGTACCAATATTTTTTTCCTCCAAATGATTCTATTATTCTTGCATTACATGCATAAAATCAGATTAAATTCTGTTTGTTTTTTTAAGAGATAAGAAAATCATTGAACATTGAAACTGTATTTGTATTTCTCATTTCTTCTCACATCCATCTATTGAGTCTTAGTTAAAAATCGATACAGTGCTTTAGAGAATTGATACTGTATCAGGAAATTAAATGTTGCAATATTTCAGTGTATCAATATTTTTCTTACACCCATAAAACACACAATGCCCAACCCCAGAGGAGACACGAGGGTGCAACGGCTGAACCAGACTTGGCGTATGAACACATGAACACACTAAAGAGAGAATGAAGGCAGAGCAACTTTAGGGACCAAGGCTGATGAGGAGATGGGAGACTGAGCCTAATGAAACAGGGAGCAGGTGTGAGTGGGCGTGGCAACCTGACAAACCTGACAATAAATCTCAAAAAGACAAAACATATAAAACAAAAAATTGAAGCTGATGACAGAGCAGATCAAGATGCAGATCTTAGTCAAAGTTTAGTTTACATAAAGAAGGTGTACAGCAGATGGTTGTTTCTTCGGTTATCTCAGATGTTTGAATTAAACCCTCGACGCCGCGTAAACAACAGAGTGTTCCAGGTCTGCAGATCCAGCCTTCCTCCACATCTGCTCTCCTCTCTGCTTTCATTCCATCTTCACCTTTTAAACACGGGTAATGATGTCTTTTCTCCCTCCTTGTTTTCCAGCTCCCTCATCCACCTTTGGGGTATATTACAGCTTTGATGTGATTTTTTTTTTTTTTGGCTTCTTGACTTCCTCTCCAAGAGAAAATCTCTGAGCGTTGAGCAACACAATTAGTGGACCACAAGGGCACGAGGACGAGTCTCTCTTGGCTCGCAACCAGAAAGTTTGAATGCGTTTAAACTCGATGCTATCCGTTTTTCTTTTGATCAAGGGGTTTTAAAGGGGTTAGCTTGCCTCAGCGTTAATGATCGCGGGCMCTGTAGTGATTTATCTCCACATTAGCCGACAACTCTGCTGTTCGTTACGCAATCAAAGTGGAGCTTCCATCTCCCCAATCACAGCAGAAACACGGCAGGCCTCTTTTTGTCACTCCCGTGTCCTGGTTTCCTGCTCATGTAACGCTTTCTTGTTACATATTCGTGAGATAATATCATACTGCATTATAAGCATGGTTAYGAGCAAAAGATTTTACACTAACAGAACAGGATTTTTAGTATTTTTTAGTTACCCCCCGTGTTAAAGGGGACCTATTATGCAAAATTCACTTTTTAAAGTTTTTTTTTTTTTTACTCAACTTTGGGTATGTACTTCTAAATAAAACAGTCCTGGGACCAAAGAAATGCACCCAGGGGCATATTTACTGTRAGTAAATGTATTTTTAATGTATATTAACAACAAGTTTTATACTTGCGTCATTTTGTGATGTCACAAGCCGTACAACAACCCACCGGAACCTGCGTTCAGCCCCTTACCTAGCAACCCCCGGGTGAGACTCCACCTCCTCAATATAAAAAGCCGTCACTGTGTTGTTGTGCAATGCGCAGCTCATTTCACAGCAGGCCTCCAATAGAGCAATGGGTAGAGAGTGGGAGACCAGGGTTCTAGACCGGCACAGACACAAATTTATTATTTATTTTCATTTGTTATGAACACGTTTTCTCATGTACCTCTATTGTTTAGCTTATTAAAGCCTTGTTAAAGCCTATTTGTTCAAGTTTCTGAGGTATTTTGACCGCTGCTGCTCCCTGCTCTGGTAACAGCATGCAGAGTGAGCGCAGAGCAGAGGAGGGGGAGAGAAAATAAAAAAGAAGTTGCGACCACGACTCTGCCTCTGGATCTCTCATATGGTTCTACAACGGAGCTTCTGCTATTATTAGCCACGCTAACGTAAACGCTGGCTTTGGAGGGCGGAGTTAATGTCAACAGATTTTTGGAGGGCGTTACCAACAGAGCTCATTAACATAAACAGCTCTTCTGAACAGAAGTCAGAGCAGGCAGAACTAGAAAATAGGAAATTTTATTTTCTGAGAATTATTTTATGCATTAAGTTGAATGAACATGGTCTGGATAGCCCACAGACATACCATAAAAATTCTAGGACCCATAATCGGTCTCCTTTAAACATTTCTGACTATTCCATGTGGTTCAGCAAATAACTACGCTGAATAATGTTTTTTTTTTTTGTCTTGGCTAAATATTTTTTGATTTTCCCAAACATGATTAGTGACCAGAGATCAGTTCATCGCAAGCCACCAAAAAGTAMAAGTGATGTTTTTGCCTGTTCAGATGTTTGTGTGCTTGTCTGTTAGCAACATATCCCAAGAACCACTGGATGATTTTAAAGAAACTTTCAGGAAATAATCATCAGATGTACAGTACATCTACAGCTGATCAACTGTTGGAGTCAACCCAATTTAAGATGGCCGCGACGGACAACTGACCTTAGAGAGCACAAAAAAAGCTACAACTTAGTCAGTTTTACTGAGACTCTGTTAAATTTGGGTGTGATTGTAGCTGAGAAGCTTTCACARTAAGTGCTACTCAATGCACAAGGTCTTCACTTACAAGTTTGGCATTACCTGCTGGAGTTAASCCTTTCTGTTAGCAAAATATCTCATGAACCACAGGATGGAAATAAACAGAACTTTCAGAAAGCAGTAGTTTGATGTACCTCTACAACTGATTTGGAGTCGGTTGAATGTACGAAAGTGGCCACA